CAGATTTCTGCATCCATAATGCATTGCAGTCGTAAAAGGTCATGTTGAATAGCTTGACATGTTTTATCTCGTATTGATACTGTCGCCCCTTGATCTAGGCGAGTTCTCTGTGAAACGCTTGAGGTCGTTTTGGGAAAAGAGGAAGTCAATAACTGAGTGCAAGAGATAAAGGGTATCAAACATGAACATATTACAACAACCTTATCGCAAGCAACTCTGGACACCACTGATTTATGATATTTTGATGGGCTTCCTATTTATAGTCAAGCCTCAGTGGAGGTCATGCTGTTGGATTGGCCCACTGTGATCACCCTGTTAAGCCAGCAGGTACTCCACCCGCTGAGCTTTAGACCATTATATCAGATCCAGCTTTTAATCATGAATGCGAAAACACAATTAAGCCGGATTGCGCTGAGCGTAAACCTCTGCCCCTGCCTGCCGGGTTAATTGGGTGTTCCATGTGCAAAGGATCACATTCACCCCACAGTTAACTCCTGCCATGGCTGAAATCACCACATATGTCTTGTGATGGCATTTAAATAGATAATGACATTTCTCATTTAAAAATAGTTAAAAGGAGACAGGAGGTGGCAGGTGCCGGGAGGGGCAGCAAAGGTGTACAGGATATTAAAGCATGTGTGTGCTTGTGCATTTGTGTGTTTGGTACAGAAAGGGAAACTCAACAGGACAACCTTGTCACTGTAAAAATATTGAAATCCTTATGGGGCTGTGGTGTAATCCCTTTGTATTTTAGATGTTAACAGACCCCTACCTTGACTGCCTCATTTATTATCCCATAAATATTTCACTGTTATCACCTACAATATTGTAATGATATGATAGTCCTCATCCACGTTCTTTAGTCATCTCTGAGGATTACACAGAGAGGTGGTTCGACACATATCACAGCTGGACGTTTCCCCTCCTGCTGCTAAACCAGGGACTCATCACCAGCGATGCAGACTTGCTCCCCAGCTGCCTGCCTGCCTGCCTTCTCCTGGGTGTACCAGTCCGCGAAATCACAGCTAAGCACTGCTGAGCCTGCCAGCTAGCATGCATTATTGATTTACATTGAACACTGTTAACAAGAAAGAGTGTGGGCTTGTAGCTCCACCGTTGGATCATGGCATCAGAATTGCCAGGTAAGGTTAGATTCCTTTTGGGGCTGTAAATATGGTTTTTCTTCTATTATTTAATTCATAACACTTTGTTTTAAGCTCCCTATCTTTACTTCATTACCACTTAATACATGGTTACTACTACACCATAAAAGTTTATAACCTACTTGTTAGTGTGTTTGAAGCATCCGTCACTGATGCATGACTATAATGTGCTTAATATCACACTATAACATAGCTGTATCCATACATACTTAGACATAAACTAATCTTACGTTGTTTTATAAAGCATTTGTTAATTGATTATTTAAAAAATCAGTTATAGAGGCTTCATATAAGCAAAAAAAATAGTTTTATTGCAATGACAAGCACTGAAAATGCCCATAAACGTACATACTGCATGCAGTATAACGATATAGATTTAGATTTAGACGTGTTGAAATGTGTTATACTGCTTGTGTGCATGCAATCATCATTTCATGTATCCATTGTGCCACATGATGAAAGGTATCATAGTTTTAGAGTGTAATTGCTTTTTTGTTGAACTTCAAAGTGATACTTATTTTTTCTTTATTGTGGAGATCCAAAGGGCCTTGGATTAGTTAATTATTATTCCATAAGAAGTAAATAAGACTTTGAAATTAAGCTTTATTCTTCTTGTTGAGAACTTTATCTGCCTTTTTCAGCGGTACCCACTCTGCTGACTGAGATCATTCAGAGTGACATTCCCAGAGATTGTCTCCGCCAAGGAGTCCCTCCAAGCCCCCCCCCCCCCCCTCCCTGCATAACAATAGCAATGTTACAACGTTTTCAGCTTTGTCACTGTTGTTCCAATGGGGCATTGTGTCTTGGCTGTAGGGGCTTGGACAAGAATGCTGGCAGAAAAAAAGTACCTGGCTGGCTCATCTGTTTTAGCTTTGGTATGAACTGGACTGTCTACTAATTAGTAATTAACACCTCATTGTTGCCTGAACTCAGAAGACTAGCCAAAAACAACATAATTAACTAAACTGGGCAATGGTATCGTCTGTCCAGGGACTGTAGGAGAATAGTGGACAAGCATGTAAAAACCCTTATGAGACTCACTTCAAGGTTCAAGGTTCAAGGTTCTTTATTGTCAAACTAACATAGCTACAGAGTAATTATGTCGTTGAAAATCTTAGGTCACAGGCTTCTCCAACAATGCAACATAATAATACAGATAGTAAAGTAATACAAAAAGAAAAATAGTTCTAAAATAAGTGAGAGAGAAAAAAAAAGTGGAATAGTGCAGTACGAGTCTCTATACAAGTTATTGGAATGATATATATTAGATAGTAGATATATATTACTAAGTAAACTTTGGACTCCTTTTATCTTAAAGGGTAAAAGACGCTTGTAATGTGTGTTGTTATACAGCACAGCATTCCCATTGCTATAAAAGCTAAAAGCCATATCTATATGATCTCCTTTGCTGACTCAGAAACCATAAAGTGAACCAGCTCTTGATTTACTGCCAGTCGACTCTGTAATCTACCTTCTTTGATCTGTTGAAATAGCGCGAAATATTTATGTTGCCAAATAAATATCGGTTATTCATTATTAAATGTGGATTCCTGAGAAAACCTGGGTCAAACTACATTATACACTAGTCTGCTAAAGTGCTGAAACAGGTATTGATTATCATATTGCAGTACAGATTTAGGGCAAAGAGAGATAGCATTTTCTGTCTTCACATTATAATGTTAAAGCTACCTCTAGTGGTGGAAAAAAGAAATGCATCAAATAATTAAGTTAGGGGATTTAATGATCAAAAGAATATTAAATCCAAGATAAATAATTTCAGCATTTGATACAATAAGCTTGATCTAGAGATGCATAGGTACAATATTCGATTGGGGATTTGCATAATATTTAGAACAATTACAATTATTTTAGAAGCTTTCGAATGGCAAATGAACATTAAATACAAAAAATGAAATATAATTCAGGGTACTCCATGTTTCCAGGCATGTTTCGCTGTTTATTGAAGACTTTTTACATCTGGTTAAGTTAAGGAACAATCCTATATTTTATAAAATATAAAAAGTAATACAAAATTATTAAAGGACTGGCTCTGAACAGGTGTTGGGCGGCACGATATTTTATGTCAGTTAGTGAGCAAACATCCTGCCACACCTTGATAACAGTTACCATCTGCCTTCAGGAGATACACCGTTCCATATTTGTAGCATTTATTGAGTTAAAAACAAGATTGTGGCTTCGTTTTAAAAGTTGAACTTGTTTAATGTCTCTTGAGAAACTACTTTCTAGCCGAGGCCTACTTTGCTTATGGCCCCTGGTAAAATGGATGATAGTATTAAGTGTTGCATTATACCCACAACAAGAAACCAAAGAAGCTGCTAAGTGCCCACAAGCATTGTTTGCATTATTTATGAAACCCAGCACTTGAGATTGGAGAAAGGAGCTTCTCTGTGTGTGTTACTCATGTGAAAAGGCCAGGCTGTAGGTCTCTGTAGAATCTGTTATTTATTTCTTGGCAGATTCTTAGTCTGAGGTTGCAGGTGCACCTTTGTGGAGAGACAGAGGAAGACCCTCACAACTGACAATGTTGCAAGTCAATCATACAAAAAGGTTAAGACACAGCTCTGCATATCAAAACTAAAATAATGGGATCATAAACATTGTGATACAACAATTGATTAGTCTTTATTAAAGGTTATATTGTTCGATTGAATTATCCAATGTGTTATAGGCCAAGCATTTCAAAGTAGTCAATGATATTGGCATTATGAGTCAATTTTATTGTCTGCAGTTTCCACTCTGCTGTACTCAAGGGGTCTGTCGAATTTGTAATGCGCATGTTGCAATGTATTTTGAATGGGCCAGGAATTCCTCGAGCAATTTATTTCTCAACTGCAGCTTGGATTTGTTGAGACTGTAGTGTGTCGGTCTCTCCATGTGCTTCATAAAAATAAGAATGTATCTCCAACAAGCACCCCTTCCCATAAATTCGAAGTACATCATTTTTAAAGGCAGGCGACCGTAGTGGCATTAAGCTGCACCTGTGCAAACAGCGCTATAGTAGGCCTGAGGGTTTTCAGTTACAGGTCAGGCAACAGCAGGTAAGTCAGGAACGTTGACTTGGATTTTGACCAAAACAGGACTAATGAGGGCTGGCAGGAACCTGCAGATTGGGTTGGCACTGGTGTAGACAGCCATGTACTGTACTTAAGGGAAAGGCCATTATTGTTGGAAGTTTTTATATTTTAAAACTAAAACTATGTGAATATTGTTAAGAAAAATCAAAAAAATACATTGGACCCTTGGGAGCACACTACTAGCCCACAACTCTTTGAGATTTCCAATAATATCTATTTATTATGGCTGCAATCATTATACATGTCCTAACCCTGACAGTTATCACAAAAGGACTTTGAAAACAAATGGTAATGTTGCACAGCAGTTTGCCAAAAAATAGGAGCAGTTTGGGTATTTTTAACATAGACAAATTACTTTTCAGCAACTTAATTTTTGCCAGATAGAAAATAAGAAAAGGGACACAATCAATGATGTAAAAATGAATTAGTGTACAATTCAAAATGATAGTTATACTTACAAGCCAACACTAGTAAACAGGATTAAATATTGAAATAAACAGAAAACATACAAAAGTAAACTATTATTATTATCATAGTGGCCAGAATAAATTATATTCAGACGTAAGTAGGCTACATGAAGTTTAATGGGATGGAGATGTTTTAACATTATTAAAACATGTTCGAATATACTTTTATGTATACAGTGTCAGTATCCTATTCTGTCATTACGATGGTGATATTGACAATTTTTTGCAGTGTGAATGTAGGTGTGTTAGCTCCACCCTCAGGTAGGTCACTCCCTGGTTATGCCTTATGTTTCTCATCATACTCGACCAACTTTACATCTAACAGTAACATTTAAAACACAGAAAACCGGAACGCGTCGACTCTTTATCTTTATTCACCTGTAGCTTTAGCTTAAACACACAGGTGAGGGAGCTTCTTTGTTTGCTAGTTCGGTCGTTCACGCGCATGCGTAACTCGCGCTCATTGTTACACAGGTGAAGTCAGCCCACAGGAGGACACACTGCAGGTAAAGGACGAGCCTTATCGTAAATAGCGAAAATGAAAGAAATATCGATAGTATCTCACCGCAGTCGGACCATATAAAAATGCCCGCGCGTGGAAGCAGTTGTAAGCTTTTTACAGCAAGTATTTACCAACAGTTTTGGGGAGTTAAAAGACTTAACTTCATCTGAGAATGCTACAAAACGAGTACATCAAGCTAGTGATGCTTATGACAGCAGCGTATTAAAGCGGATTCTAGATTTCAAGTAGTCCGTATAAATGTAGCATATGCTAACTTGACTGGAGCAACAGGTGTCCATTTTTAAGTCGCATAATGATATCATATTCTCCTTTTTGAACAGCAGCTGCAGCAGGATGAAATGACATCAGAGAGCACATTCAACATGGAGGATTTCTTCCAAACGGTAAACTTCACACAGGTTGGGTCTTGTTTTTGTTTTTTTATATCCAGTTGCACAATGTTAACTGTTGGTCTGTGTGTGTGTGTAGGTGGGGGAGGTGAAAAGCCTCATTGAAAAAATCTCCTGTCAAGCAGAAGAGGTGGAGAAGAGGCATGGCGTCATCCTCTCAACTCCAAACCAAGACAAGGGTAAGCACAAAGCTTCATTATCATACTCAGATGTGCATATCCGGTTGGAAAAGCCCCCATTAGCTGAAGAGCTTTTCTAAAAATATAAAAGTATAAATGTGATGCCTTCATTGTTGTGCGGAGGCTCTCAGAGATCCATCTCCTCCTTCAGGGCACACAACATAGAAACAAATAGAGCAAGAGAAACAAAAAGGTCGAAAGCCTTAACAAACAAGCACACTGTTAGTAGAGGGGGTAGCCCACTAAATGTTATGAAACTGAAATAGATAACATAGGTTAGATAAATAAAGCAGTTTAGGGCTTAAATTGAATGTTTAAAACAACTCATACTGTAGATGTACATTTAGAAAACGGTACACACAAATGCTGATAATACAATTTTTACATAAACAAAAAGCCTGACAGTAAGTGTAAACAAAACCATATTCGACTTGCGGCTTCAGGTGCTATCCACACTCATCTTAAATGTTGAGAAATGACAAATATTGATGGGTTTGTTGACCTTAATTCAACTTAAATTATGAGGTATATTTTTGAAGTATAATTATACAGTGGGTATTGAAATAGCTGCCAATATATTTTAAAGTGAAGGGATCACAAAGTCACTGTATGTAATATGTCACTTTAAATACCATAATTATTCCTTCTATGAAGTGAACTAATGATGTTCTTAGGAAAAAAGGACGAGTTGGCGCTGCTGAACAATGAGACCAAGAAGAATGCCAATTTGGTCCGGGCCAAGTTAAAAAGTAGGTGGATATCCGTTTTTTTTAATTCTTGCAATATGTGCTTCTGTACAATGGATATTGATTTGATTCCTGCTGTAGTTAAAGAGTAACGCAGAGAGTGCAGTTTTTCAGCGTGTACAATTGTTATCGATTTGTGGCTGTGTACCATCATTCTTTGAAACGATGAGAAGTGACTGTGCAGCACATCGAGCTTCCTCAAACTCTGGAACTGCATCGTTCATAACGCAGCATTTGACTTGCAAATGGTTATAAACTGAAGGCCACTGTACTTTACTCTACTGCTCTCAGTAAATACACTGCCTCAGATTAACTGTTTACAGAAAGATAAGGAAGTTAAATACATATTAATCAGACAATCTGCAATTCAACCAGATGCATCAACAAAGTTGTGGGTTTTGTGCTTGTAGTTAAATGACATCTGTGTTCTTTCAGCAATGCAGGAGAACTTGCCTGTGGATGAGAACAGTGAAGGGGTCTCAGTAATTCAGCGTATTTATAAGAACCAGGTATGGCTCTACTTTCATTTCCTGTTAGGCCAGGTGCATAAAGATCTGAATTTATTTACAAAAAAGCCTCTATGATTTGTGTGCAATTTTTTTGTTTAGCTTTAATAATCTGTTTTGTGTTTCTGCCCTTTCTTCAGCACTCACACCTGACTCGGTGCTTTGCTGATGTCATGAGGGGACACCATAACGCACAGATCTCCTTCAGAGAGAAATGCAAAGCACAGATTCAGAGACATCTGGAGATTGGTGAGTTGCAAAACACAAATAAAACCAAAACATAAACATTTAAACTTCCCCCCACTTGGCTCAGTGTTGTGTAAATAGACTTTAAATGATAACCTTATCATGCTAGTATAGCTATTAAAGCTGTTTATATAAGAATAAAAGGTTGCCTAAACTAGATTGAGTACTTAAAGGTGGGGTAGGTAAGTTTGAGAAACCGGCTCGAGATACACTTTTTGTTATATTCCATGGAATGCTCTTAACATCCCGATAGCAATGAATATCTTAAGTGCTTTGACAAAAAAATCCATAAAAAAATGTCATCTGTGGAAGCCGTAATACTGTAAAAAGTACGGCTAAAATAACTGGATGGCCTACCTGCCTGTCAGCCTTCCATCTGTGCACAAACTTATCTCGTGCCCTCATTGGTCATGTGCACGTTCGTGTGTGTTGGAGGAGGGGCTCTGTAAGGAAGTGGCAGATTTTTTCCGGTTATGTATTTTCAAATTCTAGCGCACTCGAGCAGGTTTCTCCAAAATTACCTACCCCACCTTTAATATACAAAGCTCATTTTGTGGGTGAAGTATCCCTTTAAACTAGATTGCTTGAAAATCTCTTTAATTCATATTTTTGTCTCTATTTCAGTGGATAAAGTGACTACAGATGAAGAGTTGGAGGATATGCTGCACAGTGACAATCTTTTCATCTTCATTTCTGATGTAAGTGCTATTCCCTTCAGTTCCTGGCCACAAAAATGCTTATTCAATTCTTGGAAATATCCACTATAGTTTTTTTTTTAGTTGGATCGACTAGTGTACTTTTCTTTTACAGGTCAACTCTAATGCTCGGATTTCCAGCCAAGCTTTGAGTGAGATTGAATCCCGTCATCAGGACATCATCTGCCTCGAGTCCAGCATCAAAGAGCTGCACGAGATATTTTCAGACACTGCCATGCTGTTGGAGATTCAGGTTACTTGCTTTTTTGGAATTGTTTAATGACCACTGATATAAAGAAATATACTAATGTGAAAATGATGTTCTTCCTCTATCAGGGGGAGTTGATCAACAACATTGAAAAAAACGTGACGAGCGCTGGAGAGTATGTAGACGCGTCCAAAACTGAAACGTATGAAGCAGTCATGTACAAGAAAGACAGACACAAGATTGGATTGCTCCCAAACTTCTTCAAGTCTTTCAGGAGGAAAAAGGCTGCTAGAACTGCTAAAGATCAAAACACCTCAGACTGAGCTCCTGAAACTGTTTGAACATCCAAAAACCATCAGATCAACATCAACGCCTGCTCGATGGTACACACTTTTCATCTTGATGGTACGCTGCCTGTCTGCCCCCTCAAAGGAAAATGAGGAAGCTGTTATCTTAAAGTCAAATATTTTGCTATCACAAGGATCGGAAATGAAACTGGTGCAGTGGACAAGCCTCGCAAGCTTTATTTGTATGTTACCTGTTGTATATAATGAAGGCACAAGGCAGCATACAATCTAAAAAAATAAGAATGTAACTTGTCAATATGTGTTTACAGACTCCCAGTGCCGGGACTGTAAAGGTCTTCAGTTATGTGGAACGCTCTATACCCATCTCAATAATACAAAAATATTTTAACTGTAGCTACATTCTTTAATTCACCACAGCCGGTGTTCCCCTTAGTCGCCAGTAGGTGGCATAACAACATTAGGTAGGGCTTTGGATCATTTACCTTCCCTTCTCTCTGCAGTCCTGCTCAACTCTTGTGTTTTTGTGTGATTCTGTGTGTTTTACTAATGCTATTTAATGTCATGTTGTCTAATACTCAGAAAAATCTATGTGATGTCATAGGATAAACTATGAGACCAATAGTTAAATAAACCTATGTGGTAAATGCTACTTTACATAATTTGTATCTGGTGTTTTTTTTGTAACATGTAGATGAAACGGGGAACAGGAGTCCAACATTAGGTTTGATGCACAAAATAAATATAGGTAAAGGTCTACAATTACCCCTTATACCATACCATACAAAAGCCCTAATTCAAGCACAATAAAAGCTAGTTTCATGTTCTTTGGCCACCACAAGCAAATGCAAAGCTTAAAATATCTGCCAGGCACATTCAGTATTTTGATAGAGATAGTAGAGAGTGGGGTGGGAAATCTTATATTGTTGTTCAGACCAGTGACTGCGGAGGTCATGGCACATCTAGTTTATATGTGTTTAAACATTCAGTGCCTTTTTGTGTCCTGTAAATGGAGGCATTGTCATTATGAAAGACACTAAAAAATGGTTCTTCATAGAGTTCTGGTCACCATCAATGTATCGTTACCTATTCCTTTAATTGGTCTGTCTTTATGATAGTGGTTTGCTTGGGACTATTTGTCGCTCATGTGCTTCTCAGTGTTATCTGACCGTAGGAGAGGACAGGCAACAACTTTTAGACAAGCTGCATCATGGGAATCCTGCCAGGATGCACCCATTGACTTCTCTCTCTCCCGCTTCTCTCTCAGATTAGATTTCACTGCACTTTGCTCAAACCACTGATTTCCAAGTAGGAAACTAAAGAGGAATAATAGAAAAGGATGACCATGTAATACTAAGAAAGGAAAGGTTAAATAAGATAAGGTCAAAAAATAAACATACACATGCCTACATAAAAACATAGTTTCTTTATTGGTTGGGTGGTGAGGCCCTCAACATAGGGCTTGAGCACAATTTTGAAAGGGCTGAGTGATAAAACAGGGGGCCCAGGCTGTCTGCTTTGATTGACAGATCATCCCTCTGTCATTTAAACAAACAGGCTCGTCTTCAAAATAACCATTAAATATTTCCCCAGTTGGAATGGATTACAAGGCTTGACATAAGAGGAAAGGTTGAAGAACAAAAAGGGGGATCAGTCTCTGTTTCCTGCCTCCTCACGGCTTACTTCTTGGCTTTGCCCTGAGCGGCTACGGCCTCCATGGCCTTCTTCACGGTTTCCTCATCACCGAGGAACGCCATGGGCTTCGTAGGCTTCAGGTTTGCGTCCAGCTCGTACACGATTGGGATTCCTGTGGGCAGGTTCAGCTCCATGATGGCTGCATCGGACATACCTGGGAACACAGGCAGACAGATAGACGCGCAGATCAGCAAACAGAGAGAGGGAATGTAATCGATACCGAAAAAGGCTGCCTGGGGCCAGCTAGGCAGACAGGAAGGATGATTTTACATAATAAATGTTATTAGCAATACAGGTTTTCTTTGTATCTGATAGTATTAGAAGTTTTTTTGAATCAACGTGTAACTAATCTAACAAACTTGATCTACTTGTTTCTCTGATCCATGCCACCTACTTTCCCTTTCTGACATATACTATTGCCTTAGACTCTTATCAATGTCTGGCCACTCCTTGAAAAAGTACAACCTTTCTACATAAAGGTCGTGACTGTAATGGGAGCCAAGCTCATGACCCTGTCCCTGAGCTGAGTCCCGGCATGCTATTTTTATAACTGTAATCTGTGTGTGTGTGTGTGTGTGTGTGTGTGTGTGTGTGTGTGTGTGTGTGTGTGTGTGTGTGTGTGTGTGGTGTGTGGTGTGTGTGTGTGTGTGTGTGTGTGTGTGTGTGTGTGTGTGTGTGTGGTGTGTGTGTGTGTGTGTGTGTGTTGTGTTGAGAGAGAGAGAGAGTGATAGCAAATACACATAAGTGTCTGTGATTATTTAGGCTCTGGCCTTGTATGCAAATGCATTGAAAGCTGATTTCAAACCGAATTATTTGATTAATTCTCTATTGCCATTTTGCTGGGGTAGTGTCAAAATGTCAACATTGACCTTTACTACTCCCTGCAGTACTGTCTTCTTTTCTTTAAGCTTTGTCTCTCTGCAAACTGCAATGCTCACCCTCAAGATGCTTGACGATGCCACGAAGGCTGTTTCCGTGAGCAGCGATGATGACGTTCTTTCCGGCCTTGATTTCAGGAACAATGACGTCATTCCAGAAAGGCAGGGCGCGGGCGATGGTGTCCTTCAGGGACTCACATGTAGGGAGCTCACCGGGCTTCAGATTCTTGTAGCGCCGGGACTGGAGGAACAATAGTGGAAGGTTGTTTATTCCCATAACAATTGACAGAAGTTAGCTGACTGATACAACTGTTGAAAAATCATTGAGTGCTTCCTCCCATTCTTGAGAAAATCATGAATTTATTGCTTATTCTACACTAGCCAATACTTCTTCCCCCCTAGTTGTCTCACCTCACTGATGATTTTGTTGTAAGCGTGCTCCTTGTCCATGGGTGGAGGTGGGGTATCAAAGGAGCGGCGCCAGATCTTCACCTGCTCCTCTCCGTGCTTTTCCGCCGTCTCTGCCTTGTTCAGCCCGGTGAGGCCTCCGTAGTGACGCTCGTTCAGGCGCCAGGTACGATGCACAGGCAGCCACATCTGGTCCGTGCCTTCCATGATGGTCCACAGGGTCTTGACTGCACGTTTCAGCACGGAGGTGTAGCACACATCGAACTTCATGCCTGCATCCTTGATAGCCTGGGCTCCACGCTTGGCCTCCTCCATGCCCTTCTCACTGAGGTCAGCATCGAACCAGCCGCAGAAACGGTTCTCCTGGTTCCAGGCGCTCTCACCGTGGCGCACAATAACCAAACGATGTACGGCAGCCATGTTTACAGTGTGTCTCCTGAGTTTAACTTCCCTCAGCCCTTTTAAGTTGTGCACACACACACACTGTCTGACCAACAGTGAGCCCAAGCCAGCATACCACACTCTTTTTATAGCTGCCTGGATAGTGACAGAGAATAGCAGACAGGCCTCTTGAACTTCCCACCTGTGAGAGGCATTCATGCTCTGATGGACACATGAGCCCTGCCAATGGAAGCAGGCCTCTGCTATGCTGGAGAGACATGTGGTGGCTGGAAGGCCAGAGGTCAGATATAAAGCCAAAATAGCAACATGACTTTTAAACTGAGATCTGTTGAACAAAAGTGTAAAGATCAGAGTTGGCTGCAGAGTTCATTGAGAGTTTGATCCCTGAGAGAGAAACTGCAGCTCATTACACTGTGAAGGGCTCATATGTTCAGTATATAATATGTGTTCACAGTGCATTTGTTGTGTGCATAACAATGGCAAAGAAGCCTTACACAGATCAACCCAGTTACAACACTGTGGTAGAAAAAAAAACAATCATGTTGCCAAAACATACACACACACAACTCACAGACTACCACCACTTTTGCTACTACTATTACCGCTATGAATAATAGTCATTGTTTATTAAAAGAATGCAAACACCAAAATACATGAATGTGAACTGACAAAAGAAAAACGTTATAAAGCATCCCTTACGATCTCAAACTACATACTGACTTATCTTAAAGGATTGACCTGGTTAAACCTTAACATATACATCAGCAATATCAAACTAAAACATGCATTGGAGTTTATAAAGTGTCATTACTGTCCATCCCCTCTAGGAGTTGCTGTTGTATCATTCCTACATGCAACAAGTCTCACTGTATTAAAGAAATACTAAGAAATCCTTGCAGTTTATCTAAACATTTCAGTAAGACACGGCTAGATGCACATTAACACATCATTAATGCTTGTAGCAGCATGAGGTTGTCAATATCAATACAGAATACTGATTCAAGTTATTGTTATCCTGGAGTTGAGGATGGTAGTGTTCCATATTCATGGTAATATTATACGGCAAATAATCAAAGCCAATTATTCCGCAGTATCCTCCATGAAATGTAATGTTGGGAAGCACTTAAACTTTCAGGAAGGAGACGAAAGTGCTGATAAAGAGTGGAAAATAAGCCACAGAGCCAAAGCTGTCAGGCAATGTCAATGTCTCCTGCCACCCCCAATCCAATTATGATCCATATATAGTCAAAAAGAGGAATACAATAATCCAAAAATATGATATTAATGGAATTTCAGGCTAAATGCCAGCCTTAGTGATAACAAAGATGATGCTGCAGGAAAAACACTAGTTTGAAAACCGTATTCATGTCTAATTCAGGAAAATTAATAACTAGTTTGCTGGTTTTGTATCATCGACATATTTACTTTTTCTACGTTCCCTGTTTCCTGTAAAATCACTTTTGTTTTTAGCTGCATTTATATGACAGCAAGATAACAATTGTTGATTGCATAATGAAATGGGAGGGCTTTGAATACGGATGTCGCTGCATTACAATGTTAACGTTTCACCAGTCATGTGACGCTGTCATTAGTTTGTCCTTGATGCCTGGGAATTTAATATGTAATCATTTGAATGTTAGACTAAGGCTGAACTTTTATGTTAATCAGCTTCACAGGGAGGGAGGACAGGCATCAAGCTCGAAATTAGCACATTAAGTGAGTTAATTTGTCCGGGGAAGAGAAGTTAATGGTCTACTTTCTCTCTCTCTCATTCCCCCAGGTGCTGTGGGCATCTTGTCTGCCAAAAATGGCAGCGGTGCAGATTGTCAGACTGCTGTTAGTGTGGGAGGCGGTGTACACAGGGGAGCTTGTGTGATCACAACTGTTACGATGACTCAGGCTGCAGCAGAGTCCATGCTGCCCCCACTTGCTATATCTCTTGTCAAATCATTATAAACCTTATTTATTCATATACTGTGCACAGGCATTGCAATTCTCCCTTTACACTAAGGGTACCTGTTTTACTGAACTTGGATAATTTATGCTGTGAGTCTTTCATATGATAATTTCTTTGTATCAAAACAAATTATTGTCAACATTATCAATCAAAATATGCACTACTAATTATTTTCTACCTTATAGAAAGACAAAGAAGACGGAAGAGAAAGAAACACCATATATTTAACCATATTTCTTCTTCTGTATAGTGTCTACACAGCATGTTTAGGTGAGATTTTATCACTGCAGGTGTTTTAAGGTTGTGGATGTAGTTCTGCTCT